GGGAGTCCCAAGAACAGAGCTCTCCCGGGGTGGATGCCGGGGCCAGGAGGGGGGCCAGGAGGGGGGCGTTGGTAGGTTTCGGGCGAGAGATTGTCGTGTGGGGTGTCCCAAGAGCAGAGCTCTCCCGGGGTGGGGATGCCGGGGCCAGGAGGGGGGCCAGGAGGGGAGCGTTGGTAGGTTTCGGGCGAGAAATTGTCGCGTGGGGGGCCCCAAGAATAGAGCTCTCCCGGGGTGGGGATGCCGGGGCCAGGAGGGGGGCCAGGAGTAGGTTTCGGGCGAGAAATTGTCGTGCGGGGGGCCCCAAGAGCAGAGCTCTCCCGGGGTGGGGATGCCGGGGTCAGGAGGAGGCCGAGAAATTGAAGGGCCCGATGCCGGTGGCGTTGGTAGGTTTCGGGCGAGAAATTGTCGTGTGGGGGGTCCCAAGAATAGAGCTCTCCCGGGGTGGGGATGCCGGGGCCAGGAGGGGGGCCAGGAGGGGGGCGTTGGTAGGTTTCGGGCGAGAAATTGTCGTGTGGGGGGTCCCAAGAATAGAGCTCTCCCGGGGTGGGGATGCCGGGGCCAGGAGGGGGGCCAGGAGGTTGGTAGGTTTCGGGCGAGAAATTGTCGTGTGGGGGGTCTCTCCCAAGAAGCCACGTCTTGTCCCCCAAGGGGTGGGGCCGGGGCCAGGAGGGGGGCCAGGAGGGGGCGTTGCCCAAGGGAGCTCTCCCGGGGTGGGGATGCCGGGGCCAGGAGGGGGGCCAGGAGGGGGGCGTTGGTAGGTTTCGGGCGAGAAATTGTCGTGTGGGGGGTCCCAAGAACAGAGCTCTCCCGGGGTGGGGATGCCGGGGCCAGGAGGGGGGCCAGGAGGGGGGCGTTGGTAGGTTTCGGGCGAGAAATTGTCGTGTGGGGGGTCCCAAGAATAGAGCTCTCCCGGGGTGGGGATGCCGGGGCCAGGAGGGGGGCCAGGAGGGGGGCGTTGGTAGGTTTCGGGGCGAGAATTGTCGTGTGGGGGTCCAAGAATAGAGCTCTCCCGGGGTGGGGATGCCGGGGCCAGGAGGTGGGCCAGGAGGGGGGCGTTGGTAGGTTTCGGGCGAGAAATTGTCGTGTGGGGGGCCCCAAAAACAGAGCTCTCCCGGGGCGGGGATGCCGGGGCCAGGAGGTGGGCCAGGAGGGGGGCGTTGGTAGGTTTCGGGCGAGAGATTGTCGTGTGGGGGGTCCCAAGAATAGAGCTCTCCCGGGGTGGGGATGCCGGAGCCAGGAGGAGGGCCAGGAGGGGAACGTTGGAAGAGAGATTGTGACGTGTAAGAAGACATTGTGTCCAGCTAAGAAGGATATCGCACACGCCTCTGGGGTCGGCGGATATATATATATATATATATATGTGTGTGCACGATGTTTGTTAGCCAGCGTGGGTTTCAAGCAGTGTGGTTATAGCAGTCTATGCTATGCAACAACTGATGTACAATATACGTGGTGTTGTGTATGCTGCGCAATGTATGGCTATATCTAGATATACGTGGTGTAATCTACGTTTCGCAATTATCGCTCAAAAACTTAGAGCTGTCAGCTCCACTGCTCGCGCAATCACCCCACCCACCCACCCACCCGCAGCTTGGTTTGCAAAACCCATGCGGCGGCGATGTCGATGAGTGCTTGGTGTTGGCGGGTGTATCTCTGCGGCCGCGCCAGCTTGCGCATGCTGGCGCGCACAGCGGCCAGCCAGTTTGGCGCAACCGACGCGGCCGCGGTGGCAGCCTGCTCCTCTTCCGGAGGTCGCGTCGTGTCGTCGTCTTGCCCCCCTTGGCCGCCCGACCCACCAGCTTCGAGTCTCGAGCGGGGTTCTGTGCTGAGAAGACTGCGGCTCGTGCCGTGTCACGAGTGCGCGTTATTCGAAGCCCCCGTGCCCCCCTGCAGGTCCCACCCCCAAGGGCTTGGAGGCCCTGGGCGGGCTGGAACGGGAGCTTCCCCCCCAAGTCGGGGATGGCTTTCCCGCGCGATCGATCTTCCTCCGGCGGCCAGGCTGGCACTTGGGAGCCACATCTTTTGCTTTCCTGCTGTAAGTCTTTACTCCTGCTCCTTCTCGCGCCTGGGTGCCAGGGCCCAGGGCCCTGCGGGCAAACGTTATACTTCCATGGGCGTGGCAGGGCGTTGGGGCCTCTTCGAAAGGCCCGAGAAATCTCCGACGCGGTCCAAGAAAACCGCAGCGGGCGCTGAAGACCGCCCCAGGAGCTTGCGAGACGGCCCAAGAGCAGTCCGAGACGGCGCAAGATAATTCCAAAGCGGGCCAGCACGCACCCACTGGTGCTCAGATAGGCTTCGATGATCGGGAGGGGGGGGGGGCCAGACGCAGACCCCGAGAGGATCCAACGGGCCCTCACGATGCCTCGCGAGCATGCAGCAGCCCCCCAAAAGACCCCAGAAGGCCACACGCGCTCGCCCTGGAATGCCCAGGGGGGGCTTCCAGATACGCCCGAGGAATCTCCAAGGAGGCCAAGAACGTGAACAAAAACGCACCCGCTTCATGCATGTCGCATGTCGCTTGATGCATAACGCTTGATCCCAACTCGCCGTGCTACCCAGAAACCGAGCGCGACCAGAACGAGCGCAAGAGTCCCTACTATACTTATAGAGATGCCTATATGGGTGTGTATACATGTGTATATAAACGCACACACGTGCATACACGCATTACCATACCTTTACACAAATATGACATGTACATGTACGTACATGCATGCATCCATGCATACACACATGCACACAAACACCTACACATACACATACACATACGCGTACACATACACATACATATGTATACGTACATGCACACATCGAACCAGTCATACTTGCATACGCACATGCATACATGCATGCATGTCTGCATACATACACACAGGTTGACATACATACACGCGTAAGTGCATACATATGTACGCATGGCCATACATGCATACATACGTGCATACTTACACACATCCATACATATATGTATACACAGATCCATACATACCTGCAGACACGTACACGTACACATATATGCACATGCACCGTGCGTGCAAACATACATCAACATGAGCATGCATGCGCGCATGCATGCATACATACAGACATTCAGACATACACTTCGACATTCACGCATGCATACATACATTCATGCATGCATACATACATATACTCATACATGCACACAAACACACTCACATCTATATACATATATATATATACACGCACACATGTATACCAACACATAGTGTACATATGTATATAAGCATATACAACGATGCACACATGCATACATACATACATGCACACATGCATACATACATACTTACGTACATACATATACACATACATCTACACATACAAACATACATACATGCATACATGCATACATGTATACAAACATACATGTATACATACATACATACATACATACATACATACATACGGCATATATACATCTGTATGTAGATATATCCACCTACACATGCTGAGGCCTTGCGGCCGCTGCCGCCGACCTTTTAAGCGGGACCTTCCCCGGGACCCCCCTTGGGACCCCCTGAGACCCTGGGGGGGCATCAATTTGACCTGGGACCATCAGGGACCCCCTCCACTCCTTCCAGCCCCCCCCCTCTACGGGGAAGGGATGAATGGAAAGGGCCTTCCTTTCCACTTAGTTACGACGTTCCTCATTTTCCGCGTGGCTGGCGGTTGAAGAGGAGGACCTGGGGAAACGGAAGGGAGCGGCAACGGCAACGGCGACGACGACGACGACGACCACGAAGACAGCATCTTCCACACGCCGACTGCGTCTGCGGATTATGGCAGTGCGATATAGTTTTTGCAATAGATGTGGTGCATGCCATGTGGTGCACAGTATGTGGTGCAAGCTATGTGGTGCGTATTATGTGGTGCATGCCAAGTGTTGCAAGTCACGTGGTGCAAGTCAGGTGTTGCCTTCTACGGGGCGCAAGCTACCCGCAAGAGGCGCGAATGAAGCGCCCACAGGGGTCCACCGTGCGAAGCCCCGACACTTTTTTATTGACCAGCGATGACGGGGCCCAGCGGCGGACGACACGACAGACGAACGACGGGCGGCAGACGAACGATGGAGGCGGCGCAGGGGGGGAGGGAGGGGGAGTCTAGGCCTCCTAGATGGGGTCGGAGTAGATGGGGTCGGAGGATCGCGCCGCATCGCCGATACATCGGCGATGCGGCTCGATGTGGGGCCCGTCTTTCTCCACGCCAGCGTCGCCGATGCATCGCTGACGTCGCCAGTGCATGGCCGATGCATCGCCGATGCATCAGCGATACATCGTCGATGTATCGGCGATACGGTGAGATCCTCCGACCCTATCTACTCGGACCCCATCCAGGAGGCCTCTAGGGAGGGGGGACAGGGGGGAAGCCCGCGGGGGGCGCCCGCGCCCGGCGCGGCCCCGCTCAGTGCGAAGCCCCGACGCACCCACCCACGCGAGGCCCCCGCGAAGCGCGCACGGGCGCCCACCAGGCGACCCTCCAACGCCACCCAATCATCTTCAAGGGGAACATGAGGAGGAGGAGGAGGAGGAGGAGGAGGAGGAGGAGGAGGAGGAGGAGGAGGAGGAGGAGATGGAAGAATGCCCCATTGCAAGTGCTGTTTGGGGAAAGCGGCGTAGACATGGCACAAACTCGAGCTTTCGGAGGTCCGCGCGGACTTCTGAAGTCGGCGCGGGCCCCCCTCCCCGCACCTCCTGGGCGGCGCTGGAGGCGCCGCCCCCGTCGCGCTCCGCGCGCCGGGTAAGCGGTGTGGGGAGGAGTGCCGCCCAGGGTCGACACAATCGGGCCGAACGAAAGGGGGGGATAGGGAAAGGGGGGGGCACGAAATCTGCTGCATGCAGCTGGTCTCAGCCCCACCGAGGGGCCCATTTCTCGATACATGGCCGCCTCCCGGCGCCGGGAGGCGCCGGGAAAATCAGCTACGCGAGCTGATTCTCAACTCCCCTCTTTGCTATCCCCCCGTTTCGCCCGGCCCGACACAAGAAAACCCACGCGGACTTCCAAGCGCATATGTTTTTATATAGTGTTTGCACTTCCAGGCCTGGGTGGCATGGTGGCTCGTTCCGCCAGGGGGCGTTGGCGCTGTGCAGCTGTCGGCTCCGATGGAGGACGGCCCCGTAGCGCTCTCGGCGTCCTCGCTGCCCGCGTCGCCCGGCACCTACCAGCTGCGGCTCGTGCTGTCGGAGTCCGAATATCCTGGCTTTACGGAGGACGCCAGCAGCAATATTTTTGTCTACGACTCTGCTTCCTTCCTGATCGACGAGCCACCCACGGGCGGCTCGTGCCAGGTGTTTCCCAGCTCTGGCAACGCGACCCTAACAAAATTCACACTGTCCTCCTTGAACTGGCTGGATGACGACCTCCCGCTGCTCCACTCGTTCTCCAAGTGCATTGGGGCAAGTCAGCGGCGCACCGGCGGTTGCGACGCTTGGGTGACACTCAGTGCTTACTCTCAGAGCCAGACCATGCAGAACGTCCTGTTTTCCAGCACTGGAACGATGACTGTCCGCGCGTTGGCCCAAGACGCACTCGGCTCCTCCGCAGAGGCTACGACCGAGGTGGAGGTCTTCGAGCTGACACAGGTCATCAACGACGACGAGCTGCTGAGTGTGGTGACCGCGGTGGCCAGTTTCGGCGACCCCTTCACCACCCTGGCGGCCGTGTCGGCGGTGGCAGAGACCTCCGGCGGCGGGAACCAAGAGTTCTCCAGCGCCCTGCTCGATGCAATGGGGAACAGCGGCGCCCTCGCGGACGCCTCAACCGAGGCCATCTCGGCGTCGAGCACGGCGCTTGCCAGCATCGTGTCGGCGGCGTCGACCGTCTCAACGGCCTCGGACGGAAGCGAGACCACCGCCGCGCCCACGGCGGTGGTCGTGCAGATGGAGGTCGCGGAGAAGGCGGCGACGGTGGTCACCAGCATCGCGTCGGCGGCGGCTGGCCTGGACGAGGGTATCCGAAGAAGAAATAAGGTGCAAACCTAGAGGTCCGCCCGGATTTCTTGGATCTGCGCTGGATCCCCCTGGCGGCGCCTCCGGCGCCGTCCTTGGCGCGCTATGCGCGTCAGGGAGGGGGGGGGTCCAGCGCCAATCCGAGAAGCCCGCGCGGAGCTTCGAAAGCTTGCGTGTTGTGCAGTTTTCGTGCCCCCAGGCATGCAGGCGGACACTGCAACCGTACTGATGAGCTCCGTGGCCACGCTGCTGAACACTGCTACGGCTGCGATTGCGGACAACGGCACCGCGGCCGCGGGGGGCAACAGCACCTCGGCCCAGGCGCAGAAGCAGAAGGGCCTCAGCGGCCAGCTGCAGCAGGCCGCCGAGGCCATCGGAGACGCCGTCATCCAGGCCGCTTCTGCCGGCGAGACGGTGACGCTGAACACGAGCTCTGGCCTGGAGCTCAGCGTGCAGAAGGCGGACAGCGATCAGCTGGCCGCGGGGGGCGTCAGCATGGGCGGCTTCACGCTGCCCCCGATGCCAGAGCTCGCCGCAAGCCGGCGCCTGCAGGCGGGGCGCAGGCTTCCCGGCGGGGCGGGCATCGGCCTACAGCAGGCGAAGTGGCCGAGCAATCCGTTCTCCTATGCTGGCTCCGCCGCGTCGACCACATCCAGCTCCGGGCAAGCGGTGGATACGACCATTCCGTTCGACGGCGTGCGCTCCTTCACTATCCGGCAGGGCGGTGAGGAGGTGGCCGTCAGCGGCCTGGTGCAGCCCATCACCATGCTGCTGCCGCTGTCTGGCGGCAGGAGGCTGAGTCAGAGCCAGGATGCGGGGACCTCTGCTACACTCGCCAATGCAGGTTTCTCTCTCTCTCTCTCCCGTCCCTTTCCCCGTCACCCTGACGAGGGAGGAGTGGGGAGCGGGAGTGGGGGTGGGTTGGGCATTGCTAGCCGAAATGAGGGTCTCCCGAGGACACCGTCGTGGAGGAGGTGCACGAGTGCATGTTTTTCAACCATACGCAGGATGCCTGGTCAAGCGAGGGCTGCTGGTTGGTGGAAGTCAACGACGACAGCATCACCTGCAACTGCACTCATCTCTCCTTTTTCTCGTCTGCCGTCGGCTTCGTAACGTCCGCACTCGGCGATTTCCTCTGTCCCAACGTCGCTATTCTCGCTCCGGCAGGGTTCGCGAATCTGGGCAAGGGCCAGTGGGCGATGCAGCGCGGAGGGATCGTTCTCTGGACGCTGTTGGCGATCCATTTGGCGATTACGCTACTGGCCGCCTGGAGGCAGGGATCCTGGAAGACGAAGCCAAACTTTTTCTTGTATCAGGACGACTTTAGGTCTTATAAGAAGATCACCGTGTTAAGTAAGATGATGGAGGCCGGGAAGAAGAGCGGTAAGTCTCGTTGGAAGGTGATGGTTGTCTTCGCCTCCCATGCGGGTTTACGGCTGAAGCTGAATTATGATTACGAGGAGTTGTTCCAGAAAGACACTATTGAAATCGTTCGGACGCTCGTTTTCTACAAGTTGATGATGATGTGGGTCACGGCCAGCATGGGCTTCTCCGAGGTAGACCTGCGGTACCTGCGTCACGGCAATGTGCTCGCGAGAGAGCAACCCGAGGGGGATGGCCGAAAGAAGAAGCTGCTGGTCAGGGCAGCCAGGGCACAGGATGAATATGGCAGCAACAAAGACGACGACAACGGCGGCTCGCAGTCCGCCTCCCACTGGCTGCCGACCGAGTCGAGGACGTCCACGGAGTCCACGCGGGCCGCCTGGGCTACCAGGCAGGCAGCCCGGTCTCACAGCATTGGATGCATGTAGCACCCCGCCATTGCGAACAAGAATGCGGGGGTGGGGTGGGTCGCGGGTGGGTCGTTAGGTGGGTCGCGGGGTGGGTCGCGAGTGGGTCGCGGGCGGAAGCAGAATCTGGGCCACGGAATCCTACTTCACCCACGCACCCAGGGATGGTGTAAGCTCGTCCGGCCCCCTCACTCTGACTATCTAGTGACCTTCGGCCCGACCCGTCCCGCCACGGTGCTCGGGTGGTGGTCCAGAGTCCAGAGGTCTTTTGGAGACATCTTGGGGTCTCTTGGGGAGCCTAATTGGGGCCTCTTGAGAGCTTTCTGGGAGCCCCTGGAGGCATCTTTGGAGCCTTACGGGGGCCTCTATCGGGGCCGTCTTGGAAGCTTGTTGGGCTCTTCTTCGGAGCCTCGGGGGCCGTCTTCAGGGGGGTCCTGTGGGCCTCTTGGTTCGTCCTGGACGCCCTTTGAAGCCAAAACGGCGAGGATGCTATTCTATACAAGCCAGGCAAGTTTTCTGACGACTTTCAAACTTTTGGCCAGTCCCGAGGCAACTAATGCGGCCCAAGAAGCCCAAGACTGCTCCAGGACAGACCCCTGGGACCATCCAGGGGCGCGTTGGAGTTATGGGTCCCCAAGAACGCTTCTGTGTCCTTAGATCAGGGAATCAGGCAATGACCCGGAGCGTGAGAGAAGGCGCAAGAGCACCCGACAATCCAGGCGATGCTCGGTTTGGGGATTTGTTTGATAATTATCCATATGTGGTATTGCACGGTAAGTATGGACGATTATTGAGGGCCCGGGAACATTCCATACAGAATTTGCGGTATTGCGGCGGATAAGACAAGGGCGTTGTATTTCTGAGCGTTGGGGCGTGAAGGTTGCTGCGAGGTTGCTCCCGCCAGGAAGTCGAAACTGCGTGTCTCGCACCGTGCATGAAGTGCACCCAATCCGCCTGCCACTGCCGATGGACCTTAAGTCCTGATTCGGACAAAGCGGGACCCCTCTCGAAACGATTGTTTTCCTTATCTTGAGGTTGGCGCCTCTGCCGCCGACCCCATGTAAGTGTTGGCAGTTTCGCTTTCCTGTGTCTCTGTTTCTTTGTGCCTGGAGACCCTCAAATGGTGGGCGGATTTTCTTCGTAACTCTTGGAAGCCCAGCAGCCCTCGAAAGTGGCGACAGCTCCGCATCTTGCAGCCCCCAAGGCATGGCGAGGTCCCGTTTGGTTTTGCGTGGGGCCCCACTATGCTGCCTCCCGTCCAGCAGCCGTCGAAAGTGGCGACAGTTTCACACTTCGCAGTCCCCTAGGGATGGTGAAATGCAGTTTGGACTTGCGTGGGAACCCAGTGTCATGGGTGGCGTTTTGTTTCGCTCGTTTTTTTTCGCTCGCTTTCTTTTCACTCGTTTTTTTGTTCTCTCGTGTTTTGTCGCTCGAGTTGTTGGTCGCTCGAATGTGTTGTTGCTCGTGTTTTTGCGCTCGTTTTCTGTTCGTTCGAAGTTGTTTTCGCTCGAGATTTGTTTCCCTCGAAATTGTTTTCGCTCGCTTTTTGTCCGCTCGTTTCTGTTTGTCTTTCGCTCGGTTTCGTTTCGCTCGTGTTTTTTGTTCGCTCGGTTGTTTGTCGCTCGGTTTCGTTTCGCTCGGTCTCGTCTCGCTTGGTTGTCGCTCCAGTTGCGCAGGTGCAACCCGAGCGAATTCAAACCGAGCGAATTAAAACCCGAGCGAGTTTAAACCGAGCGAATCTAACACGAGCGATTGTAAATCTAGCGAAATGAAACAGAGCGAGTTTAAACCGAGCGAATGTAAACCGAACGAATTTCAATTCGAGCGAGTTTCCCTCCGAGCGGATTACAACTCTATCGTACTAAAAATCCCGTGTGGTAGATTTGTTGGAAGGTGTTTGGAAGGTTGTTTGGAAGGTGTTTTTGAAGGTTCTTGGAAGTTTTGTTTGTTTGTCTGTTGAAGGTTTATGGAAGGTTTGTGTAAGTTTGTTGGGTGGATGTTTGAAGGTTTCTGGGAGGCTTTTGGGAGGTATTTGTAAGTTCGTTTTTCTGCAAGGTTTTTGGAAGGTGTTTGCAAGGTGTTCGGAATGTGTTGGATGATCTCGGTAAAGTTTGGAAGGTGTTCGGAATGTTTTTGGGAGGATGTTGCAAGGTGTTTCGAAGGTTGTTGGAAGGCTTTCGGTAGGTTTCTGGTAGGTGTGTTGAATTTTTTGTGGAAGGTACTTGGAAGGTTTCGCTCGAGACGTCCTCAAGACCTGGGCACGTGTAAAACAAGGATTTCACTTGAGACATCCGCTGAATCCTGGTCCCCAGGAGAAGAACAATCTATAACACCAAACACGCGTTTCACTCGAGACTTCCTCAACAAATTCTGCAAAGCAAGCTTTTCGTTCGAGACAACCGCGACAAACGAAAATGTTGGTTTGACCATTGTTTTATCGATTGTACTTTCAAGAACCAGCGTTTCGCTCGGGAGATCCTAAAAAAATCCGCTGGCCATTCCCGATCGATATTTATGAGGGAGTAATTCCGCCAGCCCTTCCCAACATGGCACCAGGGACAAGCTCACAACCGAAAAGAGAAACCTGAGCCGCTGCCCTTTCCGGGAACATGATCGACCCACGAGCCCGGAAAATAATACAGAAATGTGCGGCATCGCAACGTTTTCAAAGACACCTGATTGGGCGACGGGCACATCCAATGCTAAGTGTATCGATCTTGATGCACCGTGCCGAGGGCTGTGCTGTGCTGCGCCGTGCTGAACTGCGATGTGCCATGCGGCGATTGTGCTCTTTAGCTGTGTGGATCGAGTCCTCCTTTGCATCCGAGTCCTGACCGAAGTGATCTTGACCTTAAGCTCGAGCTGCCTGAGCACATAGTAGCTGCCCCAGAGCTAACTGACAGGGGGACTTGCCAGGGGAACGCGCCGCGGAACGTCCCAAGGGACGCGCCAGGGGACGTGCCAGTGGACGTGCCATGGGGGTGCGCCGCGGAACATCCCAAGGGGACGCGCTACGGAACGTGTATCACTGGACTTGCCACGGGACGTGGCAGGGGACGCGGGACACGCCGCGCGACGTGCCGGGGGGACTCGCCAGGGGACGCGCCACGGAACGTGCCAGGGAACGTGCCAGTTTGCATTGTAGAGTGTATCGATATTGATGTACCGTGCCAAGGGCTGTGCTGTGTTGCGCCGTGCTGAACTGCGATGTGCCATGCGGCGATTGTGCTCCATAGCGTTGTAGATCGAGTCCTCCTTTGCATCCGGGTCCTGACCGAACTGATCTTGATCTAAACTCGAGCTGCCTGAGCATTCAGCAGCTGCCTTAAAGCTAATTGACAAGGGGACATGCCAGGGGGACGCGCCGCGGAACGTCCCAAGGGACGCGCCAGGGGACGTGCCAGTGGACCTGCCATGGGGACGCACCGCAGGACGTGCCAAAGGGACGCGCTACGGAACGTGCCAATGGACGTGCCACGGGACGTGCCAGGGGATGCGCCGCCAGGGGGACTCGCCACGGGACGTGCCACGGAACGTGCCAGGGAACGAGCCAGGGAACGCGACAGGGAACGTGCCACGGGACGTCCCTGGCCCAGGGCCAGGATCCATCGTAAATTACGTTGCGCCCGCGCTCCCAAGGCAATGATCCCCCGTGAATTACACTGCGTCCGCTCTCCTTGGGCCGCGATCCTTTGTAAACTACGCTACGTCCACGTTCCTTGAGCCACGATCCCTAGTAGAGTACGCTGAGTCCGCGCTCCCAGGGCAGCGTCCCCTCGTGAATTACATTGTGTCCGCGCTCTTTGGGCCGCGCTCCCAGAGCCACGATCCATCGTAAATTACGCGGCGTCCGCGCTCCCAGGGCCACGATCTATTGTAAACTACGCTGCGTACGCGCTCCCAGGGCCACGATCCACCGTAAATTACACTGCGTCCGCGCTCCTAGGGCCACGATCCATCGTAAATTACGTTGCGTCCGCTCTCCCTGGGCCACGGTCCCATGTAAACTACGCTGAGTCCGCGTTCCCAGGGCCGCGCTCTCTCGTGAATTACGTTGTGTCCGCGCTCCCAGAGCCACGTTCCCCAGTAGACTGCACGGTGTCCGCGCCCCCAGGGCCACGATATAGTGTAAACTACGCTGCGTCCGCGCTCCCAGGGCCAGTATCCACCGTGAAGTCTGCTGCGCCCGCGCTCTTAGGGCCACGATGCGCTCATTAGTGAAGTACGATGCGTCAGGCGGTGTGGAGAGTACATGTGGTGCGTCGCGGTCGTCCCCTTCCTCGTAAAAAAAAATAGTGAAGTACGATGCGTCCGCGCTCCCTGGGCTACGTTCCTCAGCACATTACGCTATGTTCGGGCTCACAGAACCACCTGGGCAGCCTCGGGCGCCCGGGCCGCTCGAGCTCTGCAACACAAGCGTTTCGCTCGGTACATCCTCGAAGCGTCTCGCTCCAGATATCCTCAAGACCTTGGCGCGTGAAAACAAGCGTGTCACCAAAGACAGCCTCTGAATTCTTGTCCCCAGGTGAGGAACTCTCTATGGCACAAAATTCCCCCCAGTGCGATCCTACCTAGAAATTGGAGCCCCTAGGATAGCAGCATTAGTTGTTATGATATGATATGCCATGCTATGCTATGCTATGCTATACTATGCTGCGCCATGCTATGCTATGATGTGATATGATATGTTAAGGTATGACATGACATGCTGTACTATGTTATGCTATGATATGATATGGTGTGATAAGCTGCGATGTGCTATGATATTGCATGATATGGTATGATATGCTATGCTGCGCTATGCTATGCGATGCTGTGGTTGGCTATGGTATGCTATGCGATGCTATGCTAATGCAGCGCTGCGCTATGCTAAGCTAAGTTAAGCTAAGCTAACCCTCTAGGCAGAGCCTAGGTAGGGGATCACACCCATGTTACAGCATTAGTTGCTATGCTATACCATGCTATGCTGCCCTATGCTATGCTATGCTATGATATGCTGCGCTATGCTATGTTATGTTATGCTATGCTAAGCTGCGCTA